AGGTATGACCATGTTAATTTTTATGGAAACCACATGTGTATGTAGGTTGCACTTGAAAACTTCTGATAAGATAAAGAGAATTGTTTATACACCCCCCATACTTGTGAACATGTTTGTGTATTGTTTTTAAAACCAAGCCAAGCTGTGTCTGGCACGTATGCCACCGCCGGGTAAAGGTGTGAACAGCCAGGCCATTGTTCTGCCCAGGTAGTCTGCTCTCCTACCGTGAGGTGCTATACCAACAAATTGATTAGCCATATTGTTCCCAAATAACAACAAAGAGGTCATATTTCACATCTAGGGATGCCAAAAGTCTAAATTTTGTAGTCCGTTTTTTAATCAAGTGGTGCTTGCTCAGATTATATTATTCTAACTTACAACAAAGATGGTTGGAAAGAAGACAAGTTGTACAACAATCTCTCGTTGAGACCATTATCTTGGAGGATTCCAGTGCTCAGCTATGCCTTCATGAATATTTCCAATGGCATATTTTTGTCAATTTTTTTATATAATATGAAAAATCTTTGTTCTAGTTATAGTTCTAGACACAGCCTCAACGGGATGTTGTAGAGTTTTCTTTGCTGAATGCGTACATACCAAATTTGTCTTTAAAAAGGATGTCTCTGCGAAGCACGAGGTGTTTAAAGGTAGCTAAATTGACAAGTGCTTATTATATTAATATTGAGATATGGATAAGGTATATGTGAAACAAATGTGGTCAGATTGTATCTTAACAATATGCATCATCAAAACATGTCAGCAATTTTGGACAGAAAACATCAGGAAATTGTGAATTACGCATGAAAGTTGGGTCAGAAGTTAATTATGCTGGAGGGTCAAAATTGACTTAACCTTACTGAGAAACTTTCTGCTCCATTTCAAAGCCTTGAGGAGAGAGACAATGAATACAGTCTAGCTGTACTGTCTCCGGGGCAAGGAACCGACACCTTGGCCATGGGTTATTCGTGATGTAGTAATCCTGATGCCTCAAGGACCGCAGTTTCATTTCCAAGGATGTCAACATTGATGAGTCCGAGGAAGTACCCAAGGGTGAGGATTATTGTCGGGAAAAACATTGCATTATCCTACCTCAGACATCCGCCAGCCCCCTTCCCGAATCGTGCATGTTTGCATCATTGCATTATGCTATTATATCCTACCACATAATATCCGCCAGCTCTCTGCATGTTCATAATTAAACATGGTAACGGTCCTGGTAACTGAACTTGGTATAGTTCAGACTGTTCAGTGACCTAACTGTACCAAGAACTGGTAACAATATCACCAGTTTGTTAGATTAAACCTCATTTTGGTTAAACCCTACTGTGTAAACCCTATTGTGTAAATCACACGAAGTAAACCTCACATGGCTATCGCATTTAAAAAATAAAGTAACAGTGAATACAATCATACTGTCAAGCTTTCCAATGAAAAAAAAACAGACACGGGAATGATTCAGATTGTATTCATTGCACCATTTAATGTACTGAACCATCAATGCGTCCAATTCAATCAAAGTTTTTTTTTTGTTCACACAAAACGAAAATGGAGATGTCTGATTGACATTCACACTGAAGGGCAGACATATACACCTTTGAGGGACACCAGCGATGATTTGAAATAATTATAATAATGATATAAATGTAAACATTGTTCTCCTTGGAAGACCAACAGACCAGATGTTGCGAAATTGACTTTTTCTTTCCTTATGTACAACAAAAAAAACAAGTAATTTACTGACACTAGGCTTAAAAGTATCAGCCTTCCACATAATACACCCCATGGTCTATGAATTGAAGTCAAGCGCTTCACCATGAATATACTTAATCACAAATTACTACATGTAGTAATGACAGTCAATTTCCTCGATACAATATTATCATATTCAGCTAATATTTTCTCATCTTATAATTACATACAATTTACGATGGGTGTTCCTTAAATGTTCTCTTCACGGTTTAAAGTAATCCTCTGTTTATGCATTACAATATTAATATACTAGAGAGGCCGACATTTTGCTTGGGAGCAAATACAGCATATTTCAGTCCATCTCCCTCCCACGCAAAAGTGGACTATTCCAAACTTACCCCAGTGTAAAAACTGGCAAAGATTCTCAAATAAATGGATTATATAGTAGCTATGTAATTAAGAACAAAGATGCAAGAGCAAGCACATTGAATATCGAAAGCTTTACTAGTCTTATTACAGGTATGCAAATACTAACAATGATGAGATTTGATACATTTTTAAAAGGTCTTAGGCACATAAAAATTGAATGTGTGGGTCATTACGCACGACTTACGTGCAATGTGACTTTAGGTAACCCGCTATGGAACACATGTTCCATGGCCAACGGCAGATGGAACAGGCCATTCTTTAGATAGAACATGGAACGGGTATAGCACTTTTGGCCCTTTTTTTGCTGAAAATAGCCATTAAAGTCCCCCAAATGAGTCATTTGGAAGTGGTGTATGCCAAATATGTGACTGCTATTCTGAAGACACATCTTCAAGGTACCCTTATACCGAATTTCAGATCATTTGGTTGTAAAACCAGGGCTCAGGATCCAAAAATCCATTTTTTTGGCGAAAAATGCCCCAAAAAAACCTTCATAAAAATTTTTCAAAGGCATGTATCAAAAAATGAAAAAAAACGACCTGGGGGTATTCGCCCACTCTACCTCCATCCCAAATTTCAAGTCATTTGGCTGAATGATGGCGGAGTTGAATCCCTTTGAGTGTTTGGCAGGAGAAGGAGAAGAAACATCAGAGAACACAATATATTTCATCCATACCATGGTATGGACTGAAATATAATAAAAGTAAGGAAAATACTGTATAGCCAAGTTCTGACTGGTAGTGTAAGATATTGGCTGTCAGTTACAATCATGACTAAGTCTTGTACAGTTCTCTATATATGTTATGGTATATTATAGATTCTGCTTCTCACTTTTTCATAGACTGCCAAAATTGACATCACAATTACAAGACATTTTTCTAGATACACTTACCATCAATTGGAAGCTAATTCAGCTGTTGGTATTAATTTAAAGTTAATTGAAGTTACAATATCATGTAGGTATATGTACAATGTCATGTATATTATGATACTAGTTTTACACATTTTGATACTTTGATAGGGCTGATAAGAAACTTGAAAGTTGAACAAAGTTGGTTTTCCAAAAACAGTATGTTGCAGATAGTATTGTCTTGCTTAATAATATGTAATTTAGGTACAATTCATAATCTGGATCATTCTGCACAGTTTGATAATGTTACTTTGGAAAACAATACACTTAGAAAATGTTTAAATCTGTTAAAAACATTCCATTTGCCCAGTATCTGTCCCTTACATTAGTTCAAGCTGCTAGACAGTGGGATATTTCTGTGGTTTTCAAGTTACAATCATTATAATAATAATTATACATGTACTAGGTATATGTACATGCATCTACATTTTACACACTTAAGTGTCATATTTCTGTGGTTATGGAGAAGTCAATTCAACATTTAGAACTTTATTCACTGCTGGACAGTTCACAGTAAGGAGCACGTCCTTATTTCTGTGCTCTGGGCTGAGAAAATGGATTTTCAAGGATATTATCCAATGTAGGGACCATGTAATATGTAGCCTCAAGGACAGCTATATTACATGTTGGCTGCATAAATGATATCCAGGCTGGTTTTTGCCTCCATGTATGGAGGATATTGTTTTTGTGTGTTTGTGTGTGTCTGACTGTGTGTTCGTACAATTGAGTGACACACGTGGGTGGAGGAATTTCCTAACCACAGACCACAAAAGGTCTGACATAGGAAGTTCCCAGAAACCAGTATTTTTATTTTATGACGATTTACCACATTTGTGGAAGGATTGACATAACAGGTGACTATCACCTCTTCAAAGATGTCAACCCCGAGACCAGACTGTAAGGCTTGAACCACTCACACCGGAAAGGTCCCCTACTCTTTTCGATAAGTGCGGTGGGTTCCGAAGTTTAACGTGCGTGGGGTGTGGCTCTCCCAAACACGGGACCTCCATTTAACATCCTATCCGAGGGACGTCCCTAGCCGAAGCTAGGTACTCATTTACACCTGAGTGAAGTGACGAAAGTCGTGTAAAGTGCCTTTCCCAATGGCACAAGATCGGTGACATGGGCAGGGTTCGAACCCACGACCTCTCGGGTGTTAGCCGAACGCACTACCGACTGCGCCACACGACCCCACAGTAGGAAGTTGGTCTGTAGTCCGTCATACAGATTTTAGTCTACCAAAATTTTCAGGAACTATATTAGCACCTCTATCCAATCATATGATAGAAAAATGTCCTCTTATATAAAATCATATATCTGGCAGTCGCACAGGTATCAGATTCTAAAGGGTTTGTTTTATTTAGACTTATAGAGTGATCTGCTAAATCTAAGTGGTCCTTTTACCAAGTGAACATTTTCAACAAATTATGCGCTGAGTAGGACAAAATGCATCAATTAGTATGATTGTCCAAACTAAAGTTTATGTTGGATCTGCATGTGTGGCTGGCTGGGTCTAGAGCTCACAATGCAAGGTTCCATTTTAAGGAATCAGGGGACTTCATCTCTCTTTCATTATATCATACCTATTAGGAAAGGAAAGGTCTCCCATGCCCTTATGCAGAGCGTAGGGTGGTGCCCATATCCATTTCTGTAGCCCTTGGGCGACACACAGTTTTGCAATGCACTACAGCAGGGGGCTGGTCCACTGGTAGTGCTGTGTGTTTGACCTTCCCACACTCTTTCTCATATGTGCTGAGTGCTAAGCAGAGAAAGAAGTGTGTACCAAAGTCTTTGGTATGACCAAGCCGGGGTTTGAACTCACGACCTCCCGGTTACAAAGCGAGCACTCTACCAATTGAGCTATTGCACCGGTATTATACCTATTAGGCCACACTGATTTAATATTATGGATAACATCCACGATTCCCCCTGTTCTAAAAAAAAATCATCACCTCTGACGCTCTGGCCTGGGTGCCATCCTCTGTAGTCCATGGTAGCTACATGTAGGGAGCCAGTTGTAACTATGGAGGACGGCACCCAGGCTGCTGGAGCCCCACGGAACCCAAGAAATCAGTACAGTGCCGACTCATAAAAGACCAGCATGTGCTGGCTTGTAAAAATCGCTATGTACCGCAAATTCACAATACCAGCTTTGTATTCCAGTTTTTGGGCTGGAATTTTTTTTAATTCGCCCACGCACTAGTTTGGGGGTTATGTCTTTAGAAGATGTAATCCATAAAATTAGGACAGTGTGGCCTTCGTTGCAGTTAACTGCTGTACATTAGTGTTTGTACAGTGGAAAGCATTTTGGTGCAGGCATCAGGGAGGAGTATTGTTCTTCCTCTACTTGTTCAGTCTGATTGTAAAAAATGATGCCACTGATGATGAGGGCAGTACCTGCTACTGAACCAAAAACAGCACCAAGAAGTGCAGGTAGGGACAAAGTGAGCGCAGGGTCGGTTTGTTTTGAAGGTGAAAAGACACCAGAAACAGGTGAAGATGTTATAGAAGAGTTATGGACAGTACTGGGTTCTGGGCTGTTTGTAGCCACTGTGGTAGGTGGAGGGGAAGTAACTGGGGACATCAAACCAGTTGTTGGACCTTCACAGATCAGATCTTCAGGACTGACATCTTTAAGCTCTAGCCCATGGAGGCTGTCAGGTTGGGAACAAGTGATCTGGTTTTCAAATGGATAAGACCCTGTCATTTTCAACCTAAAGCCCACCATCCTACAGTCACACTGCCAGGGGTTGTTGTCAATGATTACAGTAGAGATGGATGAAAGTATGTCATGGGCCACAGAGGGAAGGGTTGTGATGTTGTTGCCAGACAGGCTGAGGTCTCTCAGTTGCAGCAGATTTGCCAGTAAGTTAGATGGAATGGTTTGAATGTGGTTGTTGTACAGGTACAAGCTTCTCAGTTGTGGTGTTGAGTTAAAAGTTCCAGCCTGAATATCTGTGATGTCATTATATTGTACTTGAAGTTCCTGCAAGTTTCCCAGCCCTGTGAACATGTCAGATCTGAGGCTTGTTAACTTGTTGTTAGACAGGTACAGCCTTCTCAGTTGTGGTATCGAATTAAAGGTTCCATCCTGAATATCACTGATCTCATTATTGCGCAGCGAAAGGCCCCCCAAGTTTCCCAGCCCTGTGAACATGTCAAATCTGAGGGTTGTTAACTTGTTGTTATACAGTTCCAGCCTTCTCAGTTGTGGTGTTGGATTGAAAGTTCCAGCCTGAATATCACTGATCTCATTATAGGATAGAGAAAGTTCCTGCAAGTTTACCAGCCCCGTGAACATGCCAGATCTAAGGGTTATTAATTTGTTGTTATACAGGGCCAAGTTTTTCAGTTGTGGTGTATGATCAAAAGTTCCAGCCTGAATATCAGTGATGTCATTATTGTTTAGATAAAGGTTCTCCAAGTTCCCCAGCCCTGATAACATGTCAGATCTGAGGGTTATTAACTTGTTGTTATGCAGGGCCAAGTTTTTCAGTTGTGGTGTATGATCAAAAGTTCCAGCCTGAATATCAGTGATGTCATTATTTTGTAGCCAAAGTTGCTGCACGTTTCCCAGCCCTGTGAACATGTCCGTTCTGAGCACTGTTAACTTGTTGTGATGCAGCAACAAGTTTTCTAGTTGTGGTGTTGGATTGAAAGTTCCTGCCTGAATATCACTAGTACTTATGTCATTATTCTCTAGCGAAAGCCTCTCCAAGTTCCCCAGCCCTGTGAACATGTCAGATCTGAGGGTTGTTAATTTGTTGTTAGACAGTTCCAAGCTTGTCAGTTGTGGTGTTGAGTTAAAAGTTCCAGCCTGAATATCACTGATGTTATTCTTGTATAGACCAAGTGTCCACAAGTTTCCCAGCCCTGTGAACATGTCAGATCTGAGGGTTGTTAACTTGTTGCCATACAGGTACAAGTATCTCACCTGTTGTGTTGGATTGAAAGTTCCAGCCTGAATATCAGTGATGTTATTATTGGATAGAGAAAGGCTCTGCACATTTCCCAGTCCTGTGAACATGCCAGCTTTGAGGATTGTAAGGCGGTTTCCATAGAGATCTAAGCTCGTCAAGTTTGACAGGTGATAGAATGCCTGGCTGTTGATAGTAGAAATGCCATTGTAATCAATATGTAAAATCTCTAAGCTCCTATACCGTGAGAAATCAGACTGACTTAAAGTTGTAATTCTATTACTTCCCAAATTCAGGCTGGTGATGGTTGTCGGCAGGTCCTGAGGAACACTGGTGAGGCCCTGTCTCTGGCAGTTACAGTATGAAGCTGTGCAGCTGCAGGCTTCTGCAGTTCCCAACACCTTAAGGATGACCAGGAGGAACATCAGCAAACCTGCTGGCTTCTTATCCATGGTGGAGTCTATGTCCTGGTGCAATATTCAAGACATGACATGATACTGATGACAGATACCCAGTCCCAATCCCAGGTCAAATCAGAGCTGGGACGGGCTTCGCTGCATTGAGCTGCCTCCCTGTCCTTGTACATTATGTAGGGAAACCTTCTCTCCGTGGCAAAAACTCCCTCGGCAGCAAATCGTCCCTCGCGGCCGCATATTACTCGCGTCGCTCAGAGAAAAAATAACGCCGACGCCCAACAAGACTGCGAAGGAGGCTATGTAATTATGTGTAATACTAGCTAGGTACTACATGTAGGTAGGTAGGTAGGGAGTAATACTAGCACCATTGAACTCACTTGTCCTGTCCTTGCACTTGTCTAGGTCCACCCCTACCCTACCCTTTGTTTGCACAGAGTTACTAATCCGCGCAGCTGCTAATAATCCTCTTCTTAGAGGGATGAGCAGTATTGAAGGTAATGATGATGACGATACTAAACTGTACATGCTTGATTCTACATTTTAAAAGTCATAAAGAACATAACACTTCATTTGACTTTGTACTTGACTAGTCTTTGTACAAATGTAGGAAAGTAGGATCAAACTTACCTCGTTCCTGATGTGAAGATTGACACCTGTCAACTATCGGGTTGAAGACTCGCCTGCTGATTCTGTACACTTGGGCTGTCAAACCTGGAAACAATCATTGTAAAGAATTGACTTCAACATTTGTTTGAGTGCATGACTTTGAATACTCAATGAATAAACTTTACATACAAGAATCTTAATTACTGTTCCTATTTAATAGTACTTCTTTTAAAATTGTTTAGAAATTGATAGAGAAACATACCTAGATTATAGGGGTGCAGTGAAGATTGACAGCTGGTAGCCACAACCAGGGTTTCCCAATTATCTGCACAAAAACTGGAAACAACAATATTTAATTTAGGAAAGTGGTGCAGGTTATTGTTACAGTAGTTTAGTCACCCTGTTTGAAATCGGTGAATAGGATCCAGGCAGTAAGTTATTTACATAATGTGACATAAATGTACCCTTGTGAGTGCCTACCCCAAAAAAAATTCAAGTAAATGTACCTTTGCTGCCTACCCAAAAAAAAAACTTCATGTAAATGTACCTTGCAAGTGTATCCAAAGTTTCCTTGAAAGACAGAGCTTCAGACACAGCAAGGTCAGTTGGATGTCTTCTCTCCTTGGACCTGCTGAGCTTGAAAGTCTTAAGTTTCCACTATTTAACAGCTGCGTCACAACTAGTCACTAACTCTGACTTGTACTTTGAACATGGTATGACAATCATGGTACTCTTGACTGGACATTGATCTGGATGGTTAAATATTCATTAGGATATGTGCTCAGTATCATGTGCACAAACATGCATTCATATATATGGCATTATAAGTTTCACAGTCACCCACCCACTCATTTATACACATGTAAGAGACACATTCACACACACAAATTCCTTCACAAACACACACAGACACAAACGCACACACTCACACAAACACACACACACACACACACACACACAACACACACACACACACACACACACACACACACACACACACACACACACACACACACACACACACACACACACACACACACACGCACACATGCACACATGCACACACAGAGTCACACACACACACACACACACACACATACAAACACACACAAACACACACACACACAAACACAAATACACACACACACACACACATACATACACACACACACATACAAACACACACACATAGACACACACCACACACACAAACACACATCTACACAGACACACAAACACACACGAAAACCTGTTAATGTGAGTAAATCACTGAATTTAGTGTAATTAATTAAGCATCCCTAAATGACACAAAGTTAATCATATAAAGATTAATCAATGATATATCAACTTCATAAACACCACAAAAAGCTAATTACATACACACGTACATTAGTACATGCTTGACTATGTACTTGTGTACTTGTACAAAATAACGGTGAAATAAAGTCAGCTACTTACATTTGTAAATCTATATATTAATTGACGTAAGTTACTGCAAACTATCAGAACTACTGTCACAGTGGCTACATGTACAAATGTATGACAGTAACCAAGACAAGTTTCATGTACTCTTCAACTGACAAAGAATTGAAGTATTGTGCTCGCTCATAGTACATTAAGAAGGTAGTCTGACCTAATCCAGATTATAATAAAAGTAAGGAAAATACTGTCTAGCCAAGTTCTGACTGGTAGTGTAAGATATTGCCAGGCAGTTACAATCATGACTAAGTCTTGTACAGTTCTCTATATATGTTATGGTATATTATAGATTCTGCTTCTCACTTTTTCTTAGACTGTCAAAATTGACATCACAATTACAAGACATTTTTCTAGATACACTTACCATCAATTGGAAGCTAATTCAGCTGTGAGGATTGAACATTTTACATGTCATCTTGGTAATATACATATTATGCACATGCATCTACAATATTTGCACACTTTGATAAAACTTTGACAGGGCTGATTAGGTATAGTTGACATTTTGGCAAGGTTGGTTTTCCAATAAGTGAATGTTGCAAATAATATTGTCTTAATGTAATTCAGGTACAATTCATACAATGTAATCTGGATCATTCTGCACAGTTTGATAATGTTACTTTGAAAAACAATACAGAAAATGTTCCAATCTGTTCAAAAAACATTCCATTTGCCCAGTATCTGTCCCTTACATTAGTTCAAGCTGCTAGACAGTGGGATATTTCTGTGGTCTTCAAGTTACGATCATTATAACAATAATTATACATGTAGGTATATGTATGCATCCTACAATTTACACACTTTGGTGTGATATTTCTGTGGTTATGGAGAAAAATTTATTCAACATTTAGAACTTTATTCACTACTGGACAGTTCACAGTGAGGTATGCAAATACTAACAATGATGAGATTTGATACATTTTGAAGGTCTTAGGCACATAAAATTGAATGTGTGGGTCATTACGCACGACTTACGTGCAATGTGACCTCAGGTAACCCGCTATGGAACACATGTTCCATGGCCAACGGCAGATGGAACAGGCCATTCTTTAGATAGAACATGGAACGGGTATAGCACTTTTGGCCCTTTTTTTGCTGAAAATAGCCATTTAAGTCCCCCAAATGAGTTATTTGGAAGTGGTGTATGCCAAATATATGACTGCTATTCTGAAGACACATCTTCAAGGTACCCTTATACCAAATTTCAGATCATTTGGTGTAAAACCAGGGCTCAGGATCCAAAAATCCTTTTTTGTTTCGAAAAATGCCCCAAAAAACCTTCATAAAAATTTGTCAAAGGCATGTTATCAAAAAAATGAAAAAAACGCCTGGGGGTATTCGCCCACTCTACCTCCATCCCAAATTTCAAGTCATTTGGCTGAATGATGGCGGAGTTGAATCCCTTTGAGTGTTTGGCAGGAGAAGGAGAAGAAACATCAGAGAACACAATATATTTCATCCATACCATGGTACGGACTGAAATATAATAACAGTTCCAAACGAGATCAAAATAGACGACACTCGAATCCATTAAATATTCTAAAGTACATTACACATATAAAAGGCTAAGTGACGCAACTAAATTAAATATAATAGAATATAAGAATCATTTCTATGTTGTTAGACCGAGTATTTTCATTTCTTACCAATCCTGATGTTTTCCAAAAATGTTTATTAACAGGGTTTAATGAAGGTGGCCTACTGGTTAATAGAAATGAAACTGCACATGTAAGGCGGCGTATATGACTAGCTTACTAGCCTTAAGATATCTGATTGGTCGGTGCAGAAGGAATTTCTATTTTAACCACGCATCATTTAGCCAGCACCCTTAACTAGATCTACGGTTCCTACCTGATGTATACAATTGTTCTTTTTGTTTGTTTTTTCCATTCTTATCAATAACGTTAAATATCTGGTCAATATCTATCGCATTGATTTCGAAACTTGTTACAAAATTCTAAGCATTGTTTCAAGTCGTCACCATATATATATATATATACATGTATGGCCTACATGTTATGATGAATACATTGTACAAGTCACTGTTTAAATATTTCCTTTTTTTTGATTCTGATTAATTTTGCAAGAAAACTATAAAGGCATCACGCTAATGTAATCACTTCATGATTTATAAAGTCACAATTTAATTATTTCGTCGACTTATCCATTGACAGATGCTGGGAAATTTTTAACAATTCACACAGCAGTGTAAAGCTTACGGAGATACCAGAGGGACCGCCTCCTCGTCTTCTATAGGCGGCTTCTCACCCTTCTCAGCGTCGTTTGACCCAGGCGGGCTGGTCGGTTTCTCCAACAAAGCTGCCGTAACGGTGCCGTCAGGGGTCGTGGTGTGATCGCGATCACAACACCTGATGATTGAACAGCATTAGATGTATGAGTGTATGAGTATAAAATTGAGCATCATGCATAGATGCTAAGCGTGGATAAGTCCTGCAGAGCCCATATATATATCTTTAATGCAAATACTGCAAATACATTATCATCATTATAGCTCCCTGTGTATGTACAATTTGGGGGTATTTCTCGCGCAACACATCACACCGCGGAGAAACGCAACGAATGCTGAAGTATTTACGCCACCGCAGGGCAAAAAAAATCAAGGATTTGTGACCATTTTAAGACATCAAATTCATAATATTTGAAAATATTATGTTAAAAATGCCAGCAGGACAAGCGTTAATTAAGATAAAGGAGTGTTGATTTCTGTAAATAGTTGTTCACTGGCTATAAGTAAATGCATGTTGCGTGTTCATATTTACATGACCTTCCAAGCTAGTATGCCTCTTAACACAGATGAATGTATGACTTCATATTACATTTGACCAACAAAGAAGACACAAACTTATAATTTGACTAAAATGTCCAGAAAATAGATTATACGAGTAATAGGCGATCAATAATGACCATATTATAAATGTTGACACTAAAGGTTTAAGATACGATGTGAAGGATTCATGCATTTAGCAAGACAGCAAGAAGATCCATTCTTGACATGAGAGTGGTATACTTACGTGCGCCAGGAAGACCTGACATCCTCCTGCAGCACACACCGGAACAGGAAAATGAACAGTCCCTGCAGAGAGTTCAGGACGAAGAAAACACAGGCAACGGCCAGCTCGGCGTCTCTGAATGAAAAAAAAAGAATAGTATATGAAATATTATCATCATTATCATTATTTTCATCATTATTATCATCATCATTATCATCGACATCATCATTACTATTATCATAATCATCATTATTATTATTATTATTATAAGATGGCAAATTTGAGCAAGACATTTTTTTCAGTAGTAAGAATGTAAATAATAGTTATAATGTTTGTATTTTACAATGTATGAAAGAGGATTCCAGGAAAATTAGTGGTGCACTAGTACTGTCACTAATGGCAGGTTCCTCGAATAAACAACAACAGTTTAGACAACAGTTCAACAGATTTGGAACAACGCATCTGTTGACTAGAATAGTCAGCTAATGGAAACTGGAAGAATCAGAATTATGAATTTTGCATATGTGTTATATGTCTAATGTGATGGTTAACCTGTCTAATGTGATGTTCATCAGTTAGCTTCAAATCTATGAATTTTGCATATGTGTAATATTTCTAATGTGGTGATGAACTCGCTAAGGTTATGTCGTTATATGTACAGATGTAAGCTTCCAAGTTTAACCAACCAGCATGGCGGGCAATAGCATGGCGTCATGGTCACGTGAGACCAAACACCATATTCATTAAACAGATCGTACAGAAGAAATAATAGAATCACACGATCACCTTGAACTAGTAAGAAATGCTTATTCCATTTACCTGATGAGGAAAAAGCCAAAGATCCACTGAAGTCCCACCAGAATCGTGATGATGATGACAATGTTGATCTTCGTCTTGGTGACGTTGTCATGTAGTTTTCCATCTGTTTAGAGAAACAAAAATATTATAATATTATTCAATACCAACTCACTTATTGGCACTTGTTTTGACAGTAAAATTAATACGACGCTTTGTACTTTGGGAATAAAATGCGTTCTAAAATCGGTCTTAGTTTCAAGTTTTAGCAGCTTAGTCATGCAGAACTTATCCATATGTATCAGTTATGTCCTATCTGGTGTAGTAATCAGGCCATATTGATGAACACCTGAAATTAGTCTGGGTTTGACGAAACTGAAAAGAATTTGGAAGGATAAACATATAAAGATTGGTACGAAAATACGGATATACAATGCATGTGTGCTGTCTACAGTCCTGTACGGGTCTGAGACGTGGCAAATGACCTCCAATCAGGAAAAACGGCTGGACGTTGCGGATCAGAGATGGCTTCGGGCCATATTAAAAGTCAGGTGGCAACAACACACTAGCAATGACGAGATCAGGCGTAGGACAGGTCAGCCAAAGCTCTCTAAACTAGTACAAAGAGCAAGGCTGAGGTGGCTAGGCCACGTTTCTAGAATGCCAAGGCAAAGACTGCCAAAAGTGGTGTTAACGTGGTGTCCACAAGGAAAAAGGAAGAGGGGTGGTCAGAGTATGACGTGGAGAAAAACAGTGGAAAGAGACCTTGCAGTGATGGGTTGCGAATGGGAGGGGGCGCAACGAGCAGCACAAGACAGAGGAAGATGGAAAGCAATGATGGCCCGCCTCAGCAGTAGCTGATATGCGGTGGATCCGGAGCGGAGCGGAGCGGAGGAGTCTGGGTTTGAAGATGAGTTGGTAGTGTCTCCATAATCACACAATTTTGACCAAACAAATCATGTTCTTCAAAATAGGGCGTGTCATCACATCTTCTGTCTGCCCTAGATAGATTCGACCATATAGATCTATACAGATCCGCTTCAATTGGAGTTATAGATGATACACACAAAAGGCAACGGAAATATATACCTACCTACTATAACGGAAATATATAGGTTTTCCTATTTTACGTACATTTACTAGCTATGGGCGGGCACTGTATATACAGTTTGTATACAGTATTACGTATGCGTCTGTGTTCGATTGTCTGTCCATGTATCTATGACAGCTTGCTACTTGCTAAAGTAAGAAAAGTGGGTGCAATCAACATCTCGAATCTTTAAAATGTGACAGCATGTGCTCCAGGAAAGACACATGTCTTTTAGTGATGAGATGACACGATAAGTAAATTTACATTGACTTTGAACAATAATTATTGTTCTACATACTTAGTGTTATCATCAGTTTTGTACGTGTTGCCTTCTGAATGACTCAGGAAGTCATGCCTGTTTTTGCCTAGATTGTTATTTCAGTATTACCTTGTGAATTAATTGTGAATCAGATGCGTTCTAAAAATCGGTCTCAGTTTCACGTTTATTTTAGCATCTTAGTTTCTAGGAATAACGACTTTAGACATGTCCTTATTCATATGCATCATTTATGTCCTATCTGGTGCAGTAATCAGGCCATGGTAATAAAAACCTGAAATTAGTCTGGGTTTGAAGATGAGTTGATAGTGTCTCCATAATTACACAATGTCGACAAAAAAAAATCGTGTTTTTCAAAATAGGGCATGTCATCACATCTTTTGTCTGCCCTAGATAGATTCGACCAAGGCACCCCCCCCCCACACACACACAAGGCAACGAAAACATAGCTGGTAAAATGTATGGCAAAGAAGAAATAACAAAGAAAAATACATGAACTATTATGCGTGGAAGATCTTGGTAATTGAATTTACTTTGAAATATCCGCGAACCAAGGTATTTGTGCATCGGTGAAGTTTAAACATCCAGGTAATAACGTACGCCAAAAACAGTAACAGCAACTGGACAACATTTGGAAACCGTCAGACGTTTCTGAAACAACAGGAGCTACTTGACTAATTTGCATCATCCTTCTCTTGACTTGTCTAACTTTTGTTTCCTTTTGGACCTTAAAATATTTCCTTTCAATAGTTCATACTTATAAACCTGCCTTTATAACAGCTCTCCAGTGTCACTGACGAAAGGTAGTGGATGCTACCTGAAACGCCTGACCGTTTCCAAAATCATATGCAGTTGCTTGAGTAACTGTTTTTTTTGGGGGCGCAAGGTATTTGTGTTACAGTGTTATCTAACCTGTCGGTGCATCAGGCTGACGTAGTTTCCTGACTATGACGAAGTACGTCACCGCGTCAAAACACAGCGTCACGGCAGCGGGAAGCATGAAACCGATCAGTAACTGAAACCCCTCCAACCAGCAGCTGTACAACGACAGAGGAGAGATCAGTAACTGTTCAGAACTGAAATACTGAGGAAATCTTTTCTGTTTCAGGCAATAAGCCTCAGTAACCAAGACTTGTAAATAGTAGTCCGCCTCTGTTTTAATAGACCTGACCTACAGAATTTTAAATCAATTTAATTTTAATCGTCAATGTTGTGATTTTTAATGTGTATCTCTTTTCAAGCTATTTTAACATGTAATCACTTGTGCAATTCAGCCAAGCAATGCATATTGGCTGCCAATCAATGTGAATAAAACAGTTTCAGTTTCAGTTTCATCAGTATCGTCAAGACGAAGACACGTTGCATATCATTTTAAGAGGCATTAACATGGAGGCCATATATATCAGGGCTCTCCAGCCATTACTTAACAGAGACGGTGGACGATATAAACTCCCTGGTGGGTTTGGTCAATTGCTGACGCCACGCATTCGTTAAGTCTCGTGTGAATTAGGTCTTTTGTCTGTAACCGTAACTCTCGCGAGATTACGTTTTGGAGTGATTGCCTGGTCATTAATTATCCTGATGAAGGTGACAGTGGTCGTTGAAAATTTTATTCACAGTTCAACATTTCACTATGATTACTACCAACACAGATGAACTTCGCATATCATTTGGAGTGGAACACATATTTGAAGTCAATGAACTAGCCCACATACCCCACCTACATTTTAGTCCACTGTAAGACATGTAGAGTACTGTACTTACAAGTTGTCGCTCCTGTAGCCTCGCACATCAGACACCAGAGTGATGAGGACAAAGGCGAACGGAATACCTAAAAAAACAACAACAGCAAAGTATTGAATATGAAGTATTAATGTCATTTTATTTTGAACTTAGCTCTTTATTACCCTGCCACTCTGTGTTGATCATACGTAGGAACTGCAAATATATATTTCGTCTCCAAGATAGATAGTCTTAAACAATTAAAACTCCCCTTAAACGGAAACCAAGTCGGTAACCCATTCCTCTCTTTATTTCAAAGCCCTTTAGCCCAAAGGGCTAAACTTCCATTGCTCATACAGAAATATGAATACACATCTGTCACAGATAACATTGTAAAAAAAACACACATTGAGCACAAAAAGAAAGTCAAATTATGTATAGATGAAGGTAACATAACCTACATACTAGAAACATTATATGAACAGTTGGCGGGTGGCTTTTTAAATTGGATCTACTGGAGAGTGTTGTGAAAGAGATGTACCGGAAGGTGTTGTGAAAGAGAAACACGACTTAATACTCACCCCATCCAGCTAGTGCAGATTTGATGATGAACCGTTTCATGGTGTCGGCGATGGTCTTCTCGAAGGCCAGATACATGTTGTACGCCTCGATAGCGGTCCACACGAAGAAGGCCAGCAGGAAGTAGTGCAGGAAGAACGTGACGGCCCTGCAGCTGGAGTCGTTCTCCGTCCAGCCGATCCCCAGGAGGAAACCCACCAGAGTTGCCAGGAGGGCGAGGCAGATGTTCATCAGGATGATTTGTGACCTGTGCTGACGTAACTCACTGGGAAAATATGAAAAATACATTATTTTCACATTTTCCATTGCATTTTACAAAAGGATACACAACTCAAACAGAAAAAACAGGACAAAGTACAGTAACTAGTAGCAGAATAACAAATGGTAAATGAATAAAACAGAACAGTAATGTCGAACCAAAAATGATAATGGCATCATCAATGACTAACAATGGTAGCTTAATCAATATAAATTCAAACACGACAGAAGGATAATATCAAACAGTATCGCAGAATAATGACAAGTAAATATGCAAAAGGCAATATTAACAAAATTATCAGAACAAATAATATGAAACAGGAATAACAATAACAAATCAAATGTAACTGAATATAAACATAATATCAACCAAAAGGCATTTCTTTTCATATGACACAACGACAAAAAAGGATTGTGTCAAAAATTAATGTTATTGAAGGTAGTACAGTGTTGTACAATAATTCGATATTAGGTATTGTAAGGCCGAAGAATTTAAATACTTACTCGAATATCACATGTGTGATCAAAGTGATGGCTAGTCCAATGACCATCAGACCACAGAGTACCTTACTTACGGCGACCAGGCCGGCAAATTCGTTTTTGTGAATAGTGTGTTGCTGCAGTTTGAAAATAAAATATCAAAGAAACGACATTATGATGTACGTGCTATAGATGCAGAAATCGCAAACGAGTTACAAATTCTACCAAAATCAGAAATAACACAGTCTATTGAAGTGAATAAATAGTTTAAAGCTCACCATTAAGACTGCGAAGTTAGTGAGATGATCACATTCACACACGACTCTCCCTTTGTCCATTCCTCCATATGAACATCCATCTGTTGACCAGGCACCGCCTCCATGGTTGGCAGCGAAGTCCCAGAAGACACAGGTCATATTAGTCATGTTGCGCCTCTGTAAAACAAAGATAAGAAAATGGATGTATTGTATGTTTACCCTCAAGCAATGTCATAAAACACTATGTAAATGTTTGACAAAAACTAGAAAGGTAACATTTGTAAAGAAAATGCATAGTGTTAACCGTCACATATGGTCTGCTTTGTTAATTCTTACTCAAACACATTCACATATATGGCGAGAGGAGTCTAAATCCCTCCTGCTATTAAACTGCAACATGATGTAAGCCAACACTAGTTACCATGGTGACAGACGTCTGGATCAGGTCATTGTATCGGGCAGGTTTAGAACGGAAGAAGAATAAAAAGAAGAAGAAACTGAGCAGAAACAGTAATCTAGATCTGTGAAGGAGAAATTGCTACAAATTTCTTCGAAGTTGAAACACTGCTAGCAAATCCTTATCTGTGCTTTGCTTTAGTAATAGTTCTTACGTCGACCGGGAGGTACTTGAGGATGACAGGCTTGGACAGATTTTTGGTCTGGAGTCCACTAATTCTGCCGGCGATGACTTTACTGTTGACGGTCTGTGGGTGGAACCCTCTTTCTACATCCACCGTCTGGTCGTACGGGAACAACCTACTATTCTGGAAGATGGTGAAACTCAGACGGACATCGTCACTGGTCGGCTCTAGGGTAGACGTGTTAAGAAAAAAGAGTCTTATAAACTGTTGCAAATATACATGTCATGGTCTGCTATGTTGATAACATGTGACAGATACATGGTATGTACACCAGGGCGATAAAAAATATTCCTTAACCTCCCTCATCTTCTCTCAAACTTTTAAAAAATAGTTTGGGGTCGTGTGGCGCAATGGCTGCGTGCGCGACTCGGAATCGAGAGGCCCTGGGTTCGAGTCCTGACATGCCACTGATCTTGTGCCCTTGGGAAAGGCACTTAACACGACTTCCCTCACTACACTCCAGTGAAAATGAGTATTGTCTGTCACGTCCAGTATCCGTTTCTATGTGCGGGACACAACACCAGCAACAGCTGCCTCTGCTCCGCGTGTATTGCATTTTGCAATTTCAATAAAATAAAAAAAAATACTTCCGACCATCAATGTTAATACAATTGTACCCCCCGTACTATTCATTATGGTTAGCAAAATGCAGAAGTATTTAAAATAGAATTCTAAATATGGTGATGTAAATAAACATACCAAGTTGATCGGGTAAGGCAATAGAAGCAACCACGTCCTTGGTAGGCATCGAAGCACTTTCCTCGCCAATGTAGGTCCGGACTGTCTCGTTGTTTAGGGTATCAGTGCCGTCATCCAGAAGTGCAAATACGACCCTGAAAACAGAATTTAAAAACATTCTAAAGAAAATACATTGGTGCTTTTCTAAACAGTATACACCGGTTTCCGCTTTACGAGTTTCTTTTCCGAAAATATCACCTAAAAAGACACAGAAAAGAACCATGAAACCCCTTCAGGTTGAAACATAGAACGGTTGGTATGTTTTTTCTTTGTATTTGTATAACGAACTCATAAACTCAATGACTTTAAAAACTGACTTCATATTGATGATGATGTATTTTTTTGTTATTGTATACTGCACTGCAATTCTATGATGCATTGCTATAATGTATTTTGTCGTAGGTCTTGTATATTGTAATGATTTGTATTATGCTCGTGGCCACTACCAAACTTACTCATGCCTGGCTACAACCTGTCATGCACTGTTGCATCCCCAATAAATGTTTGTTTATTTGTTTATTAGAATTCACCACAAGTACAAACATACAAGTGGAAGGGAGGACAAAACAGGAGTATTGACACCTTGTCCTCCCAAACAATTGTTGACATGAAATACAAAATTCTACAATAACATACAATTGTCATAAAATACAATACAATACACTGACAAAAAATATAATTCATTATATACAATTGTAATACTATTAAGACAGTAAGAATACTAATGAAGCCTTAAAGCTGTACAATGAAATGAAAAACATACGAACCCGCCTAACAACTCGGATGATGTCATCTGGAAAATTTCCACTCCAAAGTTTTTCCCCAGGTGACTGAACTTGCCATTTGTGAGGTCAATCTGATCATTATTCTCTTCCATTGCCTTGACAATTCTGTAATAACATAAACACATTTCAGCTCCGTAGCAAAATGACTCCACTATTTGTTGAATCGATGAAATGAAGTTTTTTTAAAATTCTTGTTGGTACTTACTTTGATGGGGAACCATCTAGTTTCTGGCTGTTCTGAAGTACATCATCATCAGCGTCCATTATCAGGTCCACGGTTTCCAGAAGTGAGTAACCAACCTGAGACAGCAATGCAAACATGTGATTTTAACTTAGTTAGAGGTATTACGAATCGAGTTTGAACTGAAATTTCCAACACAAGAAATTGAACTTACCCAAATCTTCGACTGTACAACTCCAGTCTTTGTCAAGGAATGAGCAATCCATCCCTTCCCTGACGTTACGTTATGCAGATAACACACGTTACTCCATGAGCAGTGGATCATAGGTTGCAGAGAGTTTGCATAACTTGACGTCACACAGGCGATGGATCGCTCATTTCGTGACAAAGACTGAAGTTGTACAGTCGAAAATTTGGGTACTTCCAATTTCTTGTGTTGGAAATTGAAGTTCAAACTTGTTTCAAAATGACTTCTACCAACACAGATGTACTTTCAAGACAGCTGTACACCTGTACAAACCGACAGGATTCAAACGCAATGAATACAGCTATATATAAAACATGAAAAAATCCTTACATCTGGTTGTGAGCTGGCGTTTGCAACATTTTCGAAAACCATCCTGACATCCCCCAAGTCGTCAACTGTCAAGTTGTTGTTCGAAGACGTTATGTTGCGAAGCTTTCCAGCGACATCCGGGGCATTTGCGGAAGTTACGGGAATCTGGAATGACATAATTGTCACAGCATTACACTTTGTCTTCACGCTGAAAAATCTCTCACTGTAATGTTTCATAAACCATTCCAAGTCTTTCTAATAAGAATGAACTTCAATGATGATTATTATGATGAATGGGCTACTAAAATATAAATCACTTGCAGCCATTAAGCTAAATTGCTGATTCAGTACAATACAACCTTACTCCAAACTTGTCAAATAAACTGTTAGTAGAAATTCTTCGTATTTTTGTAAGGTAGATTACGTACCTCCAAATTTTCGGAGTCAACTGTACACCTTGATCACGGAGTGACCTAGTCTCGCGAGAACACGAGACTAGGTCGAGACCTTACAAAAATACAGTCACTGATCGAAGAATTTCTACTAACTGTTAATTCTACGTGAATGATGAACCTCTTCAACGATTATCAAATAAACATCTTTACTGAAATAAAAATAACATGTTGGTATCATAATATTACAAAAAAGGTGGTACTAAACATTATATGAAAGGTCTAAAGTTAACTACCATAATACAAAATTGTAGCGATAGTTTAAAAGCTTGGCATGTACATATCAAATACATACTGTACCTCTGCCAGTTCGTGCATGTGAAGATCGCAGCTCTTCACTATATTGTCCCAACTGACTCCGGAATGAGGGTCTTTTTCACACCTTGTAATCACGTCTAGCTTCTTACCTGTAGGATCAATCACAAAAAAAATTAGATACTTGAAGCTACGATATAAAGAGATTGAAACATCTAGTCATATTGTCCACAATGCAACATGCATATGCAGTCCAAAACCTATATTGGAGAGACTGAAAGATCCGTCAAGGCTAGGTTCTTAGAACACAAACGACCTAGCTCGACTATTTCGGAGGTCTCACTACATATACCCATAGAATCGCCTGGTCATTCAGTCTCACTGGACAAAGTAACAATCCTGGATTCAGAACCGGATTTCTTTGCACGAGGGATTAAAGAGGCCATCTACATCAGGGTATTACAACCATCCTTCAACAGAGACGGGGGGCGCCACAGACTTTCTGCTGATCCACTGCTCACGGAGTCACATGTGTTACCTGCGTGACGTCACGGAAGCGGTGGATTGTTCATTCCTTGACAAAGACTGGAGTTGTACAGTCCAAACCAAAATTTTGGTGAGTCCAATTCGTTGTGTTGGAAATTACAGCTTAAACTTGCTGCATAATGCATATGCAGCCTTGCATTCAATATCCAAGCTCAAGTCCCACCACAGAAGACTGACAAAACACATCAATTTGGCAATATACAAATTTACGTACCTTTTGGCATGGCAAACACTGTGATGGCGTCTGATATGCCGTCTATACCGTTGCTGATTGCCGTGCACTGAATCTTGTGGGGTCCGTCCGTCTGTGGTGTATATCTGTTGGGGAACATGTCATTAGTCGAAATTGAATCATATGGTGTATTTTTATCATAACTACATTTTTAAAAATTTGTTTTTAATTTTCATTCAATTGCAACGATGCAATGCATTGGCCACCCAGGCAGCATGACTGATATCGAGTGCCGAAAGATACACAAATTAAACATACACAATATAACTTACTAATAGGCTACAAGTACCACATTAGGCTAAGATCCATCAATCAACAATATGAAATTTCAACAGAGTTAAGTACAAGGCTTCCTATAAAAGTATTCAAACAACATAATGATAATATACAGTTTTGGAGGTCAGAGGTCATAAACAATAATACAATGTGTGAGGAAAACGCATGTAACGCATGATCATATGAGGTTATCTTATGTGGTATCACTGAAATAGTGGAGCAGATAACATCAAATTTTGGAGGAATCTTTCAAATTGTGATACAAGCACCGAACTTGGTACAAATACTCATGAGACATTACTTTTTTTAAAAAGTACGCGGACCACTTAATTTGACTTTTGGCGTCCCCTAGCGGCGCTTTTTGGTACTGCAACTGACCTTTCGGGCTTTGTATCTCCTGTTCTAAAGGAGAGGACTTTTTGGTCGGCTGCAGTACCAAAGAGCGCACTTGGAGCAAATTGTGCACCGGCAAAAAACGCTTCTGCAGTTCCAACGCAAGCTGCTAGAGACACTAAATTAATGTCATTTCTTCCTTACTCCAACAACTTTCTACCACATAAAAATCATGGCTGTAGCATGTTTAGAACAGGAGATACAAAGCCCGAAAGGTCGGTTGCAGTACCAAAAAGCGCCGCTAGGGGACGCCAAAAGTCAAATCAAGTGGCCCGCGTATTTTTTCAAAAGAGTAATGTCTCATGAGTATTTGTACCAAGTTTGGTGCTTGTATCACAATCTGAAAGATTATTTCAGTTATCTGCCCCACTAAAAGGACCATCGACACGTTTTGTGACGGAAATAAATGTTTCAAGTGCCTCAAATAACTCCATTTAATTACCAGGCTGTATGAAAAGGGAAAAGTTTGATGTTACCTCAGAGTTTGTCCGTTCTGCCCATCAACCACCTCTCCATCCACTGTCCATCTGTACTTGACACAAACCGTCGGCAGACCCTCTGTATCACACCTTACTGTAACTGTCTCTCCCACTGTGATGTCTTGGATCCCGATGATGTGTTCGGTTACTCGGATAACGGGCGGCCGGTCTGGGTTAGAGCCGTTCCCGGGTACTGTCGAGCCTTCCCCTGCATCCTCTATCAGTATGTCTGGTTTGGGAAGGGTCACATTTATGCCAACAGTCGTATTTTGAACTGCAGCAGCAGCAGTAGTAGTAGTAGTTGAAGTAGTTGTGTTCTCTGTAGTTTTTGACGTAGAAACCTGCCTGGAAGTTGAATGTGCTTGGCTCGTGGGCACTTTGGTTGACTGAAATGGTGTTGTTTGATTGGTAGTACTTTTCGGTGTTGTTTTCGCGGTAGAACTTTGTGAGATGCTCACGGTATTGGTTGTGGTTGTTGTTGTTTCATTCAGGCTGACCATGGTTTGGGCCTCTACTAAGCAACACAAAATTTACATATATATGAGATGATGAGACACAATAACTGCGATTATACCTTAGTTAGGTGGGGTAGTGTGTCGTATCGGCAGAGTGCTGGACTCGGAACCAAGAGGTCCCAGGTTCGAGTCCTGACATGCCACCGATCTTGTGCCCTTTGGAAAGGCACTTTACACGGCTTTCGCCACTTCGCCCAGGTGAAAATAAGTATTCTATTGTCCTCTGTGTTGGTAGCAGAATTGATATAAGTTGAAAAAACTTGTGATTACATGTTGGAATAAAAAATACCTGCGATTTAACCCTTGTCCTGCTGGCAATTTTTACACAATATTTTCAAATAATTTCATGTCTTAATCATGTTACGTAACACAGACCCTTGACTTTTTTTGCCCTGTGGCGGCGTAGTTACTTCCGCATTCGTTGCGTTTCGCTGCGGTGTGCTGCGTTGCACGAGAAACACCCCCAAATCGCACATATACAGCGCACTATATAGATGGTACTGTATGTACAACCCATATATATATGTGGGCCCCGCAGGACAAAACGTGTTTCTCACAGACGTCAAATTTTGAACACAAGCATGGGCAATAAATATGTCACATCTGTTCTATCGTTTTAAACGCATGACATTACAAATTGATGTACACAAGGTACGTCAGCTGAACTGAAAAAGGAAGGATTTATGAAAAGACTAACTAACCTGCCGGTTTGACAAACAGTGTAATGATGTCTGAGACGCCGTCCCCTTCATCGGTGTGAGCTGTACACTGGATCCGGTGAGAACCATTCCTCTGGGGGATGTAGCTGTATAGAGACATATTTACTGTTATGATCAAGATTTTTAATATACGTTTTATTGCAAATTCATGCCCGGGGGCTACTTGCATGAACAGAAGAAACATTTGTAAGATAATTAGTACACATAGAACTACTGATAACTACTAAGAAACTGCTAGTAAAGACTACTGGGTTTGACTTCTTTTTTGAAGACAGAGGAAAACAAAGGGTCCTACTTTTTCTGTAATTTCGAATGAGTTTTCGAATGTTAAGAGGAGAGTAGGTTTCTTTTCATTTGTATATGTGTAAAAGTTTGGGTAGAATTTGGAGGCTACGTCAAAGAGTTCATTTCGTTCATTGCTATAGAGGGTACAATTTGAGATAAAATGCGTTTCGTCTTCCACCGTATTCAACGTACAATGTTTGCAAATTCGTTCATACACTTGGAGCCTCTTAGTACACGACTTCAAACAAGTTTATCAATGACATCTGGTAGAAAATAGCGTTTGTGGTAAACTTAACTTTGTATGGAATAAATTCTTAATTCGCTTTGTGTATGATTTTGCTAGCTTTCTATTGTCGATATTGTTTTTTTTTAAATTTCAACGTACAAATAATACATAGAGGCGACGCACTCAAGCGATATAGCTTATATTCACGTCATCACAAGACATAAAATGAAAATTAGATGAAAAACAGTATCACATGGGTAACGTCCAGTTAACAAGAACAAATATAAGGTATCAAGGTATTATTATTTAATACAGTACCATGAATCAGTTGATATTAATGTATCATATAGTATATAGATATTATTAATTGTCGATCTTACTAGTATGTGAAATTGGCATAGTTTCAAGTATAATCAAAGATCTTGACACTTACCTTAGAATTTGTCCTCGGTAGTCGGGATCTTGCTTGCCGTCTACTGACCACCTATACGTGACGTTTTTCGAAGGACTCGCGGCGTCACATCTGATAGTAACGGTCTCGCCGACGGTGACGTCTTGGATTCCAATAAGATGTTCGGTGACAGGGATGGTCCTCTCTTTTGGCGGTAAAACCAAAGAAGTATCTGTGGTGTTTAGGTTTGTCTTCTGAGCTGTTGTAGTGTTTTGTGTTGATGTGCCCGCTCTACTTGTCACAAAGGGGGTTGTCTTGGTCGTTGCCTCTTGTAGTGTTGATGTTACTTGTAAAATTGTGCTGTTTTGCATGGTAGAGTCTTGCTCTGTGGTACCTTTGGTTGTTACCCGGCCGGCTGTAGTGTTACGTTTTGTCGTTGCCAAATTTTTGGTTGTCAAATAAGACTGAGTTGAGGTCTCTGTTTTGGAAGGTGTTGAAGATATTTGTAGAATTGTGCTGTTTTGAATGGTGGTATCTCTACCTGTGCTGTATTTGTGTGTTGCCTTATCTGCTGTTGTGAGATTTAATTTTGATGTACGCGCAATGCTAGTAATTTTAGGATGGGGCGTGGTTGTTACGTCTTGCAACGATGAGGATATGCGTTGACTTGTGTTGCTTTTGCTGGTAGTCGCCCTGGTTGTGTTTGGAAGAACTGGCTGGCGATCATCCAAGTTTAAGACTGTCTGAGTGCCAATAGTAGGCAAAGGCTTCGAGGTTACAGTGCTTCGTACTGCAACACTATGCAATGCCTCAGTGATTGCTGCCTTGGACACAGTGACATTGCCTTGTTTGACGATTGTGCTTCTAACGACTGAATGTGTTGTGGTAGGAATTGTGCTTCGCTGGATGTCAATAGCTACGCTGGCATTGCTAGGTGGTGAGGTTTTGGGTGGTAATTCAGACATGGCCTTCATGGTTGTACTTTTGCGTGGTGCTATGGGTGTGGCTGTAGTCGTAGTCGTAGGTGTAGTATTGCGATTGGCGAGAGTGGAAGACGTTGTCGATTTTGCTGTCATGGTCTTGCTGCTCGGTTGGGTGATTGCCTGGGTTGGAGGGGATGGTGTACTAGTTGTGCCCGGCTTCAGGGATGTTGTTTGAACACACGTCGTCATCTGAGAAGCAGCGTCAGTTACGGACAATCCCACCAACTCAGGAAACGGACTAGAAGCGCAGGTTAACTCATAAGGTACCGTCCCTAGGTCCCGTCCATCTTTGTTGAACCACTGTACTAGCTCATACAGCACGCAGTCACATCGCAGTGGATTGTTGTGGAGAAACAAGTGAACTACGTTAGGCGAACGTTTGAAAGGACCGGTAGGGATGGTAGTTATGTCGTTGTTTTGGAGATACAGTGTTCGGAGGTTGGTCAGACCGGTGAAACTGTCGTTGCTAACGCTATTGATGGCGTTAAAACTGAGAGACAAGGTTTGAAGATCTACCAACCCGGTAAACGTTCCGTACTGAATGTTGGTTAAGGCGTTGTTGTCAAGGTACAATTCACGGAGATTGACGAGATTTTCAAAAGCACCACTGGAGATATCACTAATATTATTCTCCTTCAGGAAAAGGAAGTGAATACTGGGCACAAAAACACCATTTGGGATATGCCTGATCTTGTTGGACTGCAGATTCAACGAGTATAAAAGAGATAAACCGGAGAAGGAACCGTTTGACAACTGAGAAATGTCATTATCCCTCAGCATTAGACTTGTCACAGTTGTGGGTATGTTCTGCGGTACAGTTTCTAACGCCTTTCCGTTGCAGTTGACTACTGCGTTTCCAAATGTACAGGTGCAGACATCCGGGCATGTTAGGGCCGTGTGTAGATGGACAATGTACAACAGAACCGCAAGGAGGCGCCACTGACTGGTCATGGACGCCATCAGGACACAATCAGAATCTACCCACAGAAAGAAAGGTATTTTCAAAACAAGACAATTCTTGGAATTCTTCAAGACATTGATAAATGTATATCTACAGCAACAACTACCGATTGATATTCTGTAACAATGAGACATCTAAAATACCCACATGTGGCGAACACAGAAAACTGATGATAAATAGGGTTTGACAACACAACACAACACAACACAATCACAACACAACACAGCACAGCACAACACAACATAACACAGCACAACACAACACAGCACAACACAACACAACACAACACAACACAGCACAACACAACACAACACAACACAACACAACACAACACAACACAGCACACAACACAGCACAACACAACACAGCACAACACAGCACAGCACAACACAACACAACACAACACAACAAAACGCAACACAACGCAATACAACACAAGGCAACACGACACAAGGCAACACAACGCAACGCAACACAACGCAACACAACACAACACAACACAACGCAACACAACGCAACGCAACACAACACAGCACAACACAAAGCAACACAACACAGCACAACACAAAGCAACACAACACAGCACAACACAAAGCAACACAACACAAAGCAACACAACACAAAGCAACACAACGCAACGCAACACAACACAACGAAACGTAACACAATGCAACACAACGCAACACAATACAACGCAACACAACACAACGCAACACAACACAACACAACACAACGCAACACAACATAAACCAGATTTAGTTTTCACACATGTTTTAGTACAAAGATCTGTGCTCATCCCCAGCTTTAGTAAAAGTATGAAAATGCTCAAATATTTTTGCGTAACTGTGTGATAAAAGAAGTATGTTTTTGTTTTAAGTTAAGGCTATCTATTCTGCTCGTTCTCCTTGTACCAAAAATTCACCAGTTTCCCATCCCCAGAATGCAGTGCGAAAACGGGGACTAAACGTATTTGCATAGGACAGGGAGGCATCGGAATGATCCTGTTGACGTTAAACAGCTTGATTTTCAGTGTGTTTTGAGGTGTTGGGGCATTTTATGCTCAACGTTAATTAAATTACTATGGGTTGAATCTGACAACAAATAGAGACTGAATTAATTTTTTGGAATATGTGGTTTGTAACGCTATATTGGTAACGCTATACTGATGCTGTAACGTTACAAACCACATGTTCCGTGTTGAAAATAGCAAAAAAATTTTCTATTTGTTGTCAGATTTGCTCCATAGTAATTTAATTAATGTTGAGCATAAAATGACCCTGCCAACACCTCAAAACACAGTGAAAAGCAAGCTGTTTAACGTCACCAGGATCATTGCGATGCCTTCCTGTCTTAAGCAAATGAGTTTAGTACTGTACATAGTTGAGTATTGTACATAGGACTTCGCAGAATGTCTCATATAAGGTCGTATTTTCTCATATAAGGTTAACATTTCGACAGTAGTTTCCAAATGTTGTGTCAGAAAAGATATCCTCTACAACAGTGAAAATTCTGATGCAACGTTGACCAAAAATCCAACGAAAAACGCGAAAATCCAGGGTTCTGAGCAGGCGCAGTACGTTCTGCCAAAGTGCTGAGTTTAGACCCCCTGTTTCGCATTGCATTCTGGGGATGGGTAACTGGTGAATACAGATTTTCAGACATGGTTAACTCCCTGCAGGTGCCATAATAAATGACTCCATGGTGAAAGGTCATACGTGTGACAAGCCTCGCCCAGGGAAAAATCAACAGACTGTGGATCATTCGATTAACTTTTCTGACGGCCCTGTTGATAATATTCGAACGTCTCTTCTTAAATCCCGGGAATTTTTTAGAAAAATAATAAAACCGTAAACTAAGTAATCCTACTGTTCTAATACAAAATGTCATATACTTGCATACTGAAAACTACATACTGATAGAACGATATCTGCTAGCAATGTCTCTCTCTCGGCCTGCTAGTAATAAACCATAAACACTATGCAGATACACCCAACTCCAAAATGTTGCTGAATTCCTCTAGTAGACGTCCCGATTGGGTAACGACAGGTTAAATAAAAGTACATAACAACTTGGGTGGGTTGAATAATAAGTAATAACTTGCCCTTGTACGATCGAGACTAAGCACGGAGGTTAAAACAGTTTTCTTGGATCATAAGACTTTCCGGGTGTTGTCCTTAAAATACTTCGATATATGCCTCATTTAGATCATAACTGGATATCATTATAATCTGCTAATGCACTGAGAGCAATTATAGCTCCATGCTGAAAGTAAGTGACGTTCGAACCCGAGTCCCTCTGTGTGTCTCAAGTCAACTGTACAACTAACTTCTTCCAGGTGACCTGCAAATTCTACTATTTTCAATATCTCGAGCACTTCAATACGAATCAACAGCTTTTTTCCTTCACATCTCAAGTAAATAACAAATACGACTGGTAGAAAAGACTCCATTTTGTTACACAGTGACATCGAGCAAATAATTCAACGTGCGGGCACTCCACTGTTAGTAACATGGGCGTACGACACATTCCAACTCGCAGGCAATGTTTGCATTGGAGGGCGAATCTTTTCTTGGATTGTCAATCAAATGGTTCAAGTTACTGCTGTCAGCAAGAATCATAAAAGATTTCTAAATGATTCTTAACATATAATACCAAGTAAAACTGTACTCACGTGCAGTGGACGACTGAAAATGGGTGATTTGACAGAAGGGACATTGTGTGAAACGACCCCCGTGTTGACGCCTTGAACACCCAGGGACGCCTGCGACTACCTAGCCTCAGGCAACGCTTAGTCTAGATGTTACTCTCTAACCTGTTCACACACCTGACATACTGGGAACAATAGCGTGGAATGTTTCAAACATGCATACGGGTGGCGGCAAGAAATCAATTCGTTGATAAGAATATTATTCTCCTTTATTGTTATGATACGTATATACATATGGTACGTCCGATATTTAATCTTGTAAACTGATAAGTGACTTCTACATAATTTGATCAAAAGCTTTAATGGGATATGATTATGTTCATGGGATATGATTCTTGACGAATATGACAATATAAAACCAATACCCACAAGTTGTGTTGTCATTGTATTGGATTTGACGTGTATATCAAAGTATAGGAGAATTGTTCTTTATTATAGATATCACATTCAGATGATTGGACTAACCTCAATAGTTTTCTTGTTAAAAACAGCACGTGACCGAAATATTAACAAGTTTTCCATCCCCAGAATGCAACGCAAAACAGGGGGCTAACCCTTATTTGCATAAGACAGAATGATGCTGTTGACGTTAAACAGCTTGCTTTTCACTGTGTTTTGAGGTGTTGGGGCATTTTATGCCCAACATTAATTGAATTACTATGGGCCGAATCTGACGACAAATGAATAATGACGTTTTTGTGTTCTTTTCAACACGGAACATGTGGTTTGTAACGTTACAGCATCAGTATAGCGTTACCACTATAACGTAACAAACCACATATTCCCCCCAAAAAAATCATTCTCTATTTGTTTTCAGATCCAATCCAATAATTTAACCCTTGTCCTGCTGGCATTCCTGGCACAATATTTTTCAATAATTTCATGTCTTAATTAGATCATAGACCCCCAATTTTTTTTGCCCTGCAGTGGCATAGTTACTTCCGCATTCGTTGCGTTTTGCTGAGGTGTGATGCGTTGCACGAGAAATACCCCCAAATCGTACCTATACAGGGTGCTACATAGATGGTACTGTATGTGCCGCGCGACATATGTTGCGCACAGCAGGACAAGGGTTTTTAATTAACGTTTAGCATAAAATGCCCCAACACCTCAAAACACACTGAAAATCAAGCTGTTTAACGTCAACAGGATCATTCCGATGCCTTCCTGTCCTATGCAAATGGACAGAAAGGCATCGGCCCCCTGTTTTCGCATTGCATTCTGGGAATGGGAAACTGGTGAATTATCTTGGCTCTTGGCGTCCTTGGTTATCAACAGGTTAAAGGTTAAAGGTCAGATCGAACGCCTGATCCGTGCTCAGATGTACCGGTTAAACTGCTCACCACGCCCACTCAGAAGGTCATCTTTGTTATTATCTTACAAACCACAGTACCCAACATTATATACATACTTTAAAACTTCCTAAAGTCCGACTGGAATCTGGCCGAAGAGCTTTTGCCTGGAACGGCCTACCTGCCACAGTTAGAGTGGCCACGTCTTACCTGTCGTTTAAGAAGGTTCTGAAACAACACTGCTGACCTCTGACCTCCTGACCTTGGCCTGGCTTGACGACATTGATTTACGGTTAAGGAGTTTATTTTGACGCTTGGTTGTTTTGTAATTTCATGTATTGTTTAATGTGTTGGTTTCATTGTTTTCATGTGTAACTTGTTGTCACAAGGCATTCCTTAAAAGCAGTGTTTTTAAATAGCACTGAGGTCTCTACCCTGTTTAAATAAAGCAGAAATAATAAGCGAGAGTTGCTCTAAAATTTAGCTTTAAAGTGTTCGACTACTGCATTTGAACATTTCATAGCGTTTGATGGTGTGTTTTCGAAAGTTTTTCACAATGCACATTCTTTAATTAACATTCGAGAAAGCATCCCTGTGTTTCTTATAAGCGGACCGCGGAAAGGATTTACCAACCTCCCTTTTTGACCGAAAAATGGAACGGCCCTTAGTAGTAACAGTTTGGGCTCACTGCCATTTTGTTCAAGCAGATGTCACTGACCTCTACAGATAACTAGACTCTAGACTTTTATGATGGGAAGTAAAACATTGAAGATAAAACAGGTATAAACAAGTTCCTTTCGTCAGCTCACATATATATTGACATTTTTTTCCTACACAAAGTATGATCATCGTGGGGTCGTGTGGCGCAGCGACAGAGTGCGCGACTCGGAACCAAGAGGTCCCGGGTTCGAGTCCTGACATGCCACCGATCTTGTGCCCTTCGGAAATGCACTTTACACGACTTTCCTCACCTAGCTCAGGTGTAAATGAGTATTGTCCTGTCATGTAATTGTCCCCTGTGTTGGTGGTGAAATTAATACAAGTTGAAAAAACTGTGTGCCGTCACCACGTCTGGTGATTACATGTTGGAATTAAAAAAAGTATGATCACTCCTTCCACGTAACGGATCTTTGTGTGAAGTTTTCGCTCCCTATATGCGTCCTAAATGATTGGATTTTTTTTGGTCTCTAAACACGCCTCACAAGAGTAAAAAGGAGATCTAAAATGCAGTCTGACAAAGAAATATGGACAGCATTTCGCTGATAAAAGTATACAATAACAAAGCGAGCTGCATCTGGATTATGAACGTCTGCTATTAAGGCCCCCATTCCACTAATTTCTAATTCATTCAATATAATACGGTACTACGTATATACATCCCACTGCCTGCAGTCATAAGTCTCAATACCATTGGAAAATAGATAAGCTGTGCGGTTGATGTTGATAGAAGTGTAGTTTTCAAATTTGACGCCAGGCGTCGTTAACCATCATGCTCTCTCATCGTAGACCTTTGGTGACTGTCAGACAATGTCAAAGGTATCAATGTACCTAATGTGAATATAATTTGCCGTCTTTGTTGGTCAACATGCTCTTAGATGGGGCATTAAAGTATTCACTCACCCTTAAAATCCACCGTCTGCATAGTATTAGTGTTGCAAATAATTGAATTAGTTTAGCAAATGAAATACAAAAGGTAGACACACATAGGTAGATAAGACATCAGTGAATGCCGTATGCACAGCAAACATGCTCAAGTTATTTAATACATGACTTCATATTTAGGCTGTTATTTTGATATTCTATATGTAGTTACCATTTCACAGCCATGTTGATTCTGTTGAATTACACATTCTTGGTCGCATTCTATCATTAAAATCGCCATCTTGGTTTTGCTTGACGCCGCCATCTTGTAAACGGTCAGTGGCCCAGGACTGCTCTTCCCCGCTCCCAAAGACTCCATAAAAGAAGCCGGTGGCAGCAAACACACAGGCAATAATAACAACGACGTTGGACCACTCTTGCGTCGTCTGCGAACAATATTAAAACTTGTTTAAAGTTAAAACTTTTGGTTCAACACACAAAAAAATTCTCTCACCTAGAGCTTTCGACCAGTCACTCTGGTCTTCCTCAGTACCATCACCCTTCATTGAACTGCGACGGGAGCCGCCATCGTCTACAACATACCTTTGACCCAGTGTTAAAGTCACACTTCAGAGAAACCAAATGACAAGCTTCACTGGGTCAGTCTACTGAGGAAGACCAGAGTGACTGGTCGAAAGCTCTAGTTGAGATAATTCTTGTGTTGGACCAAAAGTTTTAACTTTTAACAGGTAACTACCAACACAGATGAACTTTCATGATAATATTAAAACTTAGTTAAATTTTGAAACAATGATTGTACTTTTGAAATGTACACCACTTTAATCGGTTAAATATTATAAAAAAGAAAATGAGTAATGTAAAAATGCACAAAATTGCATCATCAGTTTTTAGGACCAACATGAAAGGGGCCACAGACTGTATATCAGGTACACACAGCAACCATGAAAACAGCGTTATAGTACTCAATTTGGTATAGAAATATAACAATCGTTACCCACACATACCTTATTCTTGGTCAGAGTTGTCACCAATAGAGGGAACGTAATGCCCACCACACGACAGAGGACCCGGCACATCCCACATAACACACTGGCGTAGCGGGGAGCGATGTCAAATGGGTTCGCATCAGCAACTGTGGATAGCAAAGATGGTAAAGCGACTTGATGATAATGGCACACATCCGGTTCTAAAAAGAACGTCCGTGTTGGTATTTAGTCCGACCTCACACTAAACCTAGTCTCTACCAGACAAACTACGCTCGCTATATAAAGGAAAATATTTGCCAGGGGAGTTTTCTTTTATGGTCGCCTCGTAGGTTTAACTGGTCGGAGGGAAAGAAACTACTTTCCCGCGGCCGGACTCCTTGGCAAATTTTACTCTCTCCGTAGTAAGGCCTGGGGGATGCTAAACCTAAGATATTCATTTGGGGATTTATACTTGATAATAAATGGTAAGTCCTGGGGATAATTGTATTCTAGGCAGATCAAATCATTAAAACAAATAGAAATGCCAACATTTAATCTCTTATGGTATATCTTTATTACTTGTTCAGGTACCATGATCCATGTTGTGACCATGCATAAACTACTTGAACATACCTGCCGCCCTAGCCGCAGAACTCCCGTAAGCTACAGCGACAAAGCAGGCTGCCACGACAGAGTTGGTGGTAAAAGCTGCCACAAGAAAGCAGCCAGAAACACCCAGGCAGCCTAAGCGAATAAAACAAGCAGGCATATGCGATGTAATATCATTTTATTATGTAAAACCATGTCGGTTTGTTGTATACGGTGTATAAAAATTTTCAACTCTCTACAAAACCTTTTTATTGTATGGAACATCTCTTTACAATTTGAACGTACCTACCTATCATAGCCAAAGCTTTCCGAGCGATTGTTACTGAAAACCGCTTGCTTAAACGGTTTCCAAGCAAAGCAAATATCGGTCCCAAAGCACCAAATATCAGTACAGGAATCCCAGCCAGCACTCCTACCTATATAACAAAAAAGAAACATCAATAACCCACTATTTATGACGTGATGATTTCATGTGATATGAAAATTACCGTTCATCCAGGAACGTGCTCTACGTTCTTGAATAGGTTATCGTACTATCGTACCTACAGGCATGCACGTAGACACACAAACACGCACAGACACACACACACATGGACACACAAAGGCATGCATACATGCATATGACTGAATCGTACATGGTACAATGTGTTGAAGCTACTACAAAACTAAAGTAACATACAATTAATACTACAAAATACTATTGGATACAATATGTAAGTTACAATATTGTCATGTATTGGTAGTCTGGTCTCGCTTATTGGATGTGGTATACTGAAATTGACCTATGTAGGCGGATATGGGAGTTGGACATGGAAACAATATAAGGAATGTATCGTTCTGTGTTCCAGATAGGGCGAACTTTGTCTTGGTAGTAAAATAGTCTGTAACAGTGTATCTCTCTCTTTTTTTAAGTGGGACAAGTCATAGCAAAGTAAAATTCATTTTCAATGTTTTAATTACATGTTAAAGCACAGACACACCGACACACACACACACACACACACACACACACACACACACACACACACACACACACACACACACGCACACATCCTACCAGTTCGATGCTCGCCCCGAAACTTTGGTTGAAGTAGAGCGGCAGAATATTTGGTTCCCAGCAGTAGGCAGCTACTTGTAGCAGAATGGATGCCCAGACAGCGGGGGACGTGAAGATCCGACAAAATGGAATACCGTCCTAAAAAAAAACAACATCGGTTACATGATTTTGTACTTCAATAACGAAGACATTTCAAGGAAAGATGGTTAATGCCATTTTGAAGTTTCTTTAACCCTTTATCTTGAAAGATAGAACGTGAGAATTCTGTAATCATTTATATGTTGAACATGAGATACACTTTCTTCTTGACTGTACATTATATGAAGATGAACGCCAAGAGCTATTCAATACTTAAAAATTAAATAATTAGACAAGATATGTAAGAAAATGTCAAAGCAGGACACGTTTAAACACTTAATGTCATGCAAGAACGAATGTATAGTAGACAAACTATGTAATTATGTTTCCAGATGTTTCACAAAGAGAGAATAAATGGCAATTATAACAGTAGATGATAGGTATTATATAGTATTGTTGTAATACATAGCATGTTGTCACATTTGTGTATTTATCTCATCTGACAAAGAACAGGAAATTAAGATCCATATCAATTATATCCAAATAATTAAGCAACCATATTGTTGATAATAATTGAAAGTGAATCGCTGTACGAATTATGAGAATGCATGTATGTTGCAACAATAATCCATGTTCATACCGTGCGTTTTGTTCCGTCTTCAACATGCTCATTTGCACTGTCGACATCTTTGTTTCTTCTCTCGACCATTGCTTCATATCCAACCAGTAGAACTGCCCAAGTTAGCCCAAGTCCCCCTGTTGATAATTGAAAGAAAAAAATCAGATGCAGTCGAACAAAATGCATTGAAAATGTTTCATTCATACTAGAATAAGTTGGTATTCATGAAGCAGAAACTGTGTATTCTGTTTTGCCCAAGCTGGTATCCTGCCTGGTCAACACTTGGCAGTATTATACTAATACATGTAACTATAGAAAAACTAGGCAACTGTAAAATGCGTAACGACATTTATTTTTACTTTATTTTGAAAGTTTATAGCTATACTCACCAAATAAGTAAAATGCTGTCTGCCAGACCAGATTCTGCGTTATGAAGCCGGTCGCGATTATCCCAAGGAACTGACCGAGATAGAGACCTGAACAACAAAGGTGTAAATGTATGAATGTATTAAAGATAACCATAGTGGGGCCTTGACCATTTCTGCCTATCTACTATTGCTATTGATTTGATGTGATTGCTATTGTATGCTACACATACACAACAGACCACTGCTGCTGCTGCAAAGAACTAGCATGTGACGTCTTTTTTTACATTAAAGCAATAATATCTGCATGCTTGCCAACCTTAGCTATAAAGCTATAAAGTCAGAGTGCATCGACACCTCCTTCATTGCAATTGAGAACTTGGCAGCTGTGAGCCACTGATTGCCCACTGATTGAGCCATTGCACAATCAGTGGGTATTGCTCACTACAGCACATTATATATAAAAAAAAAACTACTAGACATATTTATTTGGGTGAGGTCCAGGACTTACAACACATCGTGGCACATAAAGACTCTTGAGAAGAAATTAAAATAGACTTTGTTCGGGCAAGCAGCCCGACACAATGATGATAATATACAGTTAAAATCTCAAATTTGAAAAGAAGTAGTAGAAGGTGTAGAAGAAGTACCTTCATGGTGTTTCGAGACTGACGAAATGCCTGAAAAAGTATCAAATTTATTAACTAACATAAAACAATATATTTCGTTCAGACCTGCAAAGACGAATGGGGAAACCTTTGCACTTTGGGTCGGCAACAGACGCTCACTCAGAACGCCGTAAGCAGCAGGCTCACAAAGGCCCTGCAAAGGGAAACAACATTACATATATATTAGGAACGGTCTTGGATTAATTTCAAGTTAGGCCATGTTGATCTGATTATATGAATGACATCCTATGGGAACCACTAAACTGACACGAATAAAAAATGTTTCGCAAGAAAGTTTCCTTCATTTTGAAATCTAAGTGGTCATGAAGGTTGAACAAATGACAATACAAAGAGTGGTATGGCGAATAATGATAATAGTCTCTTCATTTTCATTTCTTCACATTTTCTTCTTTTCCTGAATTGATTTCGGAAATCTTTGACATCAGTATCGTTTTTCAGTCCTTTTTTGCAACAACATACGACACATATTTGCTCATTTTGTACGATTTACAGTTTGTTAAAAAAACGGACGAAAATTCATGCGCGCGCAAAAGACATCATCCATATATTGAATCAACATGACCTTACAAAAAGTAACCAACGTGATATCATACAAATAAAAGTAAGATATTTCACCTCTGCCAATCCTGCTACAATGCGATGTGCCACTGCAGCTTCGAAGTGTTGAAAAGCAAATGGACCGACACTGTGGACAACAGAACTCATACCCACCGAGGCCAAGAGAACCCTGAAAAATGCAAATTGGGCTCATTATTCATCTTTCATTTTTAAACCTTAGCCACTGGGTGTCTCTGTATTAGGCCACAGTAAGTAATTTTTATGGATGCCATCAGCGCGCGCATTGATTTTCGCTGGGTTTGGAAAAAAAACAAGAAGTTTTGATGCCCTCTGACAGTGGTCAACTTGCCGAAAATGGGCAAAAATCTGTTGCCCTGCCAGAACGTGGGTTGCAGATAAATATGAAGAGAGGAGACAAGACAAGGCTTGGATTTATTCTTTTGTCTTTTACTTTGATGCAGTGTAGAAATTTATTTGTACAATGATTGATAACTTCTCAGCTGTTTCAGTGAGAAATGGATACTGTTATAGTTGGCAGTAAACTTAACACAATATATGTATCATCTCTTGTTAAACAAGGTTTATGATGTCAAAAGATGGAAACTTTAATGAAGGAATCTTGACAATGTGTTTTTTGGGGCCCATCTTGTTTTCTTTCGCCCTATTGCATTAGATTGGGAGTTTAGGGAGGATGTCATCCATAAAATTTACTTGCTGTGTCCTTAGAGGTCAAACCCTTGTAAACGTTTTAGTCAAAGAAAGATACACTATTATAATACCAGGCAGGCTCAACAGCTACACAGACCAAAATACACATCTCGAACAGGCCAACGAACGTTTGCTTTCAGAGCGGTTTCCATCTATAACTCCCTCAAACCAGCGACAAAATTAGAAACCACTCTGAATTCATTCAAACAAGCCTTAAAATCTGACCTCTGACCACTCTGACCATAACAAGCAATGACCTACATGTATAGCTAGTATTTTATTTTGCAAACGGATTGATTTTGTTGTTTGCTTTGTTCTATTTATTTGATTTACGTATGTGACAGGCTCTGTAATTCTGATTTTGAGTTGATATTGTTCAACGTATTTTGAATTACTCCTATGTTCGATTTTGTGTTTTATGTTGTACAATTGTAACGTTTTGTTGATTCATCTGTTGATGTGGAGCCAGGGCCCCCTTGGAAATCAGTTGTTTATCAACTGAAGGGGCGACCCTCAAGATTAATAAATAAATAAATAAATACTCTTGTGGCATACTCTTTTGAATTACTCACCTAATAGCGGGGTATCGATAGGCAAGGTAGCCTCCGAGGAAACTTGAAGGCAACAAACCGATGTAGACTGAACTCAGTATGACACCAACCTGGAACTGGCTATATTGTACCTGCAAAACAAAATGAAAGGACGCAGTTGTGTCAGATAAAGATGCATGCATTTGGAATTGAAACGACAAATGTTTAAATAATTTGACAACAATGGCTGTTTGCAGAATATTTAACATTCCATCATTGTAGAATAAATCTGTTAAATACATGAGCCTCTCAAAACTTTAATGTAAATCAAACATCTTAAATAAAGTATGCAAATTACTAGTTTTCTGTCATGGTAGATGGTAAAAAGTGAATGTATAGATAACATTTTTCGATATTTTGAAGTCGGTATTCATCAAACTTGCACTTTTTTCTCTAAGACTGATAAATCATATTCTCCTATAACTATGAACGCTTAATCGGATGATATTTAAGATTAGCGAGGAAGCGATCTCACTATGAGGCAATATGTAAGTGCATTGATCGATAAAGCTAAGGCCATGTTGATTTGATTATATGAATGACATCCTCTGGGAACCCAAAAACTCAAGTTTAACAAAAAAGTTGTCTTCATAATGAAATCTATGTGGTTATGAAGGTTGAGCAAATGGCACAGAGTATGGTATGGCGAAAAATTTATTCTTCAAATTCATTTATTTACATTTTTGTCTTTTTCGTTTGATTTTGGCATTCTGTAGTTTTTCAATTTGTTTATTGCAGCTTACGGTAATATTTGCTTGTCGTGCAACTGTTTTGTACGATTTTCAGTACGGCTGAAAACTTTTGTTGGAAACGGCCGAAACTTTATGCGAGTGCGGATGTCATCCATATAATCAAATCAACATGGCCTAACCTGAGTGACGTTGGTTTGTGTTCTGTTATCCGATGGCATCTGTAGCTCCACCAGCACCACTGAAACACTGGTCCTTCCCGCGTATTGAAAAAGAATCCCAGTGAAGAGAAGAGCACACAGCAGCTTCTTGGATGTGGGTATGGCCTTCATTGGACTTTCTTCTGCCATGCCGCTCTGAAAAGCAGAATACAGGGTAAAACGACTAAAACGAACAAGACTGGCAATGAAAACATGCATTGCCATGGCGACGGTGGTTGCTGTCAGGGTTATTGTTTGCATGCATATGGCACTGCCATGATCTCATCATTTTGGGGGGACCTTGGTACCTGTTAAGTCTAGACAGATACAGTGCACTCTTCCCCTGAGTGTATAGTGAACCGCCCCCGGGGTCACAGAAAAAGGAGGGCATCCGGGGCAGACAGGTCCGCTGTACAATTCCCAGAATTCTTGGGAACTGCACACTTTATTTTACCATTAGGCTTCTCCCTTAGACGTATTAGGTTCCTCCCTGAGACGTCGCTAAAAACATCCAAAATTATTCGGCTCTGCGTTGCAATTGTCTATAGCTGCTAGCGGACTTTTGTCTTCTAAAAATAAGCCACAAAACCATATCCATTGCTGTAATAACTTTATTATATATATATATATCTATATAGGTAAGCAGAGCTATCATAATGTGATGATTATTGTTACACCATTTGTCTACATTGATGATTTCTACCCCGATATCTACTTGGAGATTAAAGATAATATTTAATCGTTTTCTCGGAGAAGAAGACGTCCTTGACTGTATCCCCGACCAGTGGGATGGAAGTTCCCAGCAGCAGTGTGGACGTTTATGCGGGAGACGAGGACTGCTACCGTCCCATCTTTGAGCCTATTATCAGGTAAAAATTAATTTTCTTTTTCCTCAATCGCTGCACCAAAGATCTAAGAATAATGGAGAATAAATTCTACTTACTATTGGTAAATTTGCAGCGATGAACCCTAGCTATATAGGCCTCGATGGTTGTCGTTTTCGCTACATACCATTCGGGTGATAAAAGTGGACTTTTATGCATGGATAGGTAAACACAAACATGATTTCATTTTTAACGCCTAGATAAAACGCCTAAATTATTCATCAGAGCTACGCTTAACGATGTATAACAATGTACATCACCAATACATTTGGTAGAAAGTCGAGATAAACTTTGAAGAGATCACAAAGACAAAGGGAACCTTTCTTTCATCAAAGATTACTTACTTCACTAATTTGCTTTGAAAACAAAATCTATACTACAGAAAATGTCTCGACACCAGGATGTTGTAAACAGAGCCGCCATTTTTAATGTGATGGCGTTAGATCGGCTAGGAATATAATAAGGGTGTGCACAGACCTTGAATCAATGGCCGAAATGTACTAGTATGTCATGACCTGACACGGCGGTCTGTCACTACGGCATTCTTTCCCATTGCTATGCGCGTTCGAAAAGGTATCGGGTTACAAGACGCTATTTTGGCCTGTTTTGGACTACCCGTAAAATCTTTGAAAATAAACAAATAATATTTAGTGGCAAATTTCGTCAAATTAAAATGAAAATATCGTCTTAACATCCTGTAAATATTAGCTTTTCAAGTTAAATCAATGATTTTTAAAGATTTCGCTCAGAAAGACGATTATTTTCGGGTTTCCGAGCACAAGTCATGTCACGTTTTTAGGCAAACATCGTTCAAACCTGGCTACGTATATTGCACCAGATCCTCGTTTTTTATATTTTTCGCTGACTAGGGATAAGATAAAAAAAACCGTGTTTTAGGGATTTTTTAATTTCTGATTGTAAGTCTAGTTTTTGTCGACATATTGGTGAAAAAATTGCATTTTTTTACATTTTTCTCACTAAATTACCCATAATTCAAAATTGAGGCCATTTTTCAAAAATCCCTAAAACACGATTTTCGGGACAACCGTTACAGTTATTTTGAGCCGTAAATGGGGTATGCTTGACTCTCCATGTTTCCAGGTTTGAACGAGTTTTGCAGACATGTCATATCACCAGAAAGTGTGCATTGTGTTATTCATACTGGTGTAAAGAATCATTACAGTATTCAAGGTCACCCAAGGATACGACAATAGCTTCGCTACATGTTACATACCCACCAAAAATGATAGCGGACATGTACTGTCCAGGAAACTGATTGTATCTATAGAAAAGTGTTGTTTTTTATCTGTTGCGAAGCACTCAGGCAGAAGGGCTTCTTTTGCCGCTTTGTTGTAAATGACCGCAGGTGACCCCGAAATGGAACGCGGGTTCGATTCAAATTGTCCAGATCGAACACCATCGAACACAGTTCGGATTCTATGAAATGTGGGAACTTTGCAGCCCAGATTTTGCCACCGTGTGAAATTCTGCGAGTCGTTAAGAGAATTAGGGATGGTAAAATATACTTAATATTTGTTGCCATTTTGAGGAAGATCAGGATATGGAGAGTTTTGAGTTTCTGCTATGCAGTCTAACTGTCGTGTTCTTGACTTGTGTTATAAATTATGCTTCTGTATATTTCAAGTTGAACAGTATTATTACACTATTTCTTACACTCTTCAGCCATGTTAATGTTTAATGATATTTCATGTCAGTTTATGAGAAATTTTACCTCAAACTTGAACCCTCAAAATCATTTCGTCACTTTTTTTTACTACACACTACCACGCAGGTATCGGTCGAACACTGTATGAGTACGATATGTGTTCGCGCATGGAGGAAACTCCGTTAAAAATATAAATGACATATATGTGTGTGAACAAATACATACATACATCTCAGGAAAGTTGGTCATAGTTGGTTTCCAGGTGCTTTTGGTCCCCAGTTTCTCCGGTTTGTGTTCAGATATGAGGTTGCTTTTTGAAGGTTAAAATCACCCATATTTGACTGGCTAGATGCTCACAGGCAAATATACTGATTCCAGCCTTCAACATGCCACATCGTGAGCGCTTGGAAGTAGGATGTTAAGATCACATCAATGTTTCAACAGTGTAAAACACCCACCTGTGTCTCGGTACCGGTATGGACGGTAACGTTGACTTGCTGACAGCTCCAGCTAGCGTTGTCTTCTTCTTCGTTCTGGCGAAGATCTTTTCTTGCAACACCTGACGTCCCTGCATAGACAAGAGCGTACAATATCTTCAAGACATCGTCTAAGTGTACGAAGAAGACAAGAAGAAGTCGCCAAGGATGCCAAGACGTTTTAAAACAAGCCTACCGTTTTCAAACCCCCTACGGTCTGCCAAGGTTCCATCCATCATGTCTGTAACGCAGCACTGTTACAGAGATCGCTTTAAAGACTGGTAAATGCGCTGCCTATAAAAACAACAAACTGTCCTCTATAGACTCCGGACAGTTGATGAGGCAATGTTACTTTGTAGCATTCTTTAGACAGTATCCAATGGGTCCATCAATTGGCTCTATAGGGTTAGAGGGTAAACAAGATGGAGGTAAAGATACACTATGCAATCACGCAGGTGACACGCCGGGCTTTATTCCGTGACAGCGGCGCCGGCTTTTGTGACACGTGGGAGAGCCTAGAACACGGGACAGCGACGGTAGGTCTGTAATTCCCAATGGTTTAATCTCCACGCAGATCCAAGGGTGCATACATGTTTTTCTCGCTCTTAATTACATGTCTCAAGTGCTTCATAGTCCTATTTTCGAACGAAGCAGATTTATAGAATTTCCTCATTAAGTAGGCAAATTAGCTCCTGATTTGCATAATTGCCATCTGATTATGTCAAGCATCACTTAAGAAACCTACACACCAAAAAACACTACAATCCGTCAACCAGTTCTTGAGTTATCCTTCTTCGAGAATTTTTTAAGAAACGCTCCTGCAGTTCTAGAACAAGCTGCTAGGGGGTCCAAACTCATGTCACTTATTTTCTACCTTAAGACCTATCTACCAACCAAAATTCGTGACCCTAGCATGTCCAAATCGCGAGATATCAAAACTGGAAGTTCTGCTGCAGTACCAACAAAAGCCGCTAGGGGGCCCAAAATCTAATCATTTCTAGGTCTCATCAAGACCTACCCACCTAAAAAGTTTCATGACAATGCATATTAAGCTTCTTGAGTTATGTTGTTCACAGACAACGGATAAACAGACAAACAAACGGACAGACGGACAAACGCTACTGAAAACATAACCTTCTTGGCGAAGGTAATTACAGACCTACCGTCGCTGTCCCGTGTTCTAGGCTCTCCCGCGTGTCACAAAAGCCGGCGCCGCTGTCACGGAATAAAGCCCGGCGTGTCACCTGCGTGATTGTATAGTGTATCTTTACCTCCATCCTGTTTACCCTCTAACCCTATAGAGCCAATTGATGGACCCATTAGATACTGTCTAAAGAATGCTACAAAGTAACTTTGCCTCATCAACTGTCCGGAGTCTATAGAGGACAGTTTGTTGTTTTTATAGGCAGCACATTTACCAGTCTTTAAAGCGATCTCTGTAACAGTGCTGCGTTACAGACATGATGGATGGAACCTTGGCAGACCGTAGGGGGTCTGAAAACGGTAGGCTTGTTTTAAAACGTCTTGGCATCCTTGGCGACTTCTTCTTGTCTTCTTCGTACACTTAGACGATGTCTTGAAGATATTGTACGCTCTTGTCTATGCAGGGACGTCAGGTGTTGCAAGAAAAGATCTTCGCCAGAACGAAGAAGAAGACAACGCTAGCTGGAGCTGTCAGCAAGTCAACGTTACCGTCCATACCGGTACCGAGACACAGGTGGGTGTTTTACACTGTTGAAACATTGATGTGATCTTAACATCCTACTTCCAAGCGCTCACGATGTGGCATGTAGAAGGCTGGAATCAGTATATTTGCTTGTGATCATCTAGCCAGTCAAATATGGGCGATTTCAACCTTCAAAATGCAACCTCATCTCTGAACACAAACCGGAGAAACTGGGGACCAAAAGCACTTGGAAACCAACTATGTCCAACTTTCCTGAGATGAATGTATGTATTTTTTCACACACATCTATGTCATTTATATTTTTTTAACGGAGTAGTTCAATGCAAGGCCTATGCGAACACTTCTCAGCATTGAACTAGAAAGATGAGAGAGACATGGCTATGTCAAGAGATGGCGATTCATCGTGGCATGCTCGCTGTCGCTGCGGTCATCGACCT